TGGCCCCCCACCCCGCCCACCCCTCCCACCCCTCCCAAGCGTTCCACACCTCTCCGTACCCCATACCTCGCCCCCCGGTCTCTCCTATCCCGAAGCTAGAGCCTGGGGTCGGATACCCTGCCGGACCTGCAGCAGTGCCGCACCCGTCCGGTCCCCACCCCGCTTATGTAGGTTCGGCAACGGGGCAGATAGGCTCGGTGCCACTTCAGGCTGGGGCTCCGAGCCCACATGTAGGTTCGGGAGGGGCAGGTTCGGGAGTGGGTATGGATGGGAAGGTGGAGGGGGTTTCTACAGGTGCGGCTATGGGTCAAGTTGCCCCAGGTGCTGGTGTGGCTGCTACACCAGCAGCAGTGGGAGAGGCAGCATCAGCAGGTGTAGCTGCAACGTTACCAGCAACAGCAGCGGCGGTGGCAGCAGCGGCAGTGGGTGCTGCTGCGGTTTCGGGTAAAGTGTTTGCAGAAGGAGCAGGAGCAGGAGCAGGGGCAGGGGCAGCGGCAGGAGCAGCAGCAGCAGGGGTAGCAGGGGCAGGGGCAGAAGCAGCAAACGATGCAGGTGCCAGTGCCCCAGGGGCAAAGGCGAGTGGGGGGAAGGCTGGGGCAGGAGCAGGAGGTAAAGCAGGCGCGGGTGGGAAACCCGCACATTCAGCCGCTGCTGGTGGTGCTGCTGCTGGGACGCCTGGAGGTCGCCCGTTGACTAAGTATGAGAAGGCGAAGCTGAGGAAAGAGGCTAAGAAGCGAGAGGAGGAGGCGAAGAGAAAGGCAGAAGAGGAGGAGAAGAAGCGGATTGCTGCTGGAGGGGCGCCTGATGCTGCTGCTGCTGCTTCTGGTGCTGCTGCCAATGCTGCCGGTGCTGGTGCTGGTGCTGGCGCTGGTGGTGGTGGTGGTGCTGGTGCTGGTGCTCCTGGTACAGCCGCTGCAGGTGGAGCAGCAGTCAAGTTAGAGGATGGAGCGCCAGCAGGAGCAGTAGGAGCTATAGGAGGAAAGGCGCCAGCAGCTGCAGGGGCAGCAGGAGCAGCGGGAGCAGCGGGGGCAGCGGGGGGAGTAGCAGCAAGGGGGGCAGCGGCAGGGGCGGCAGCGGGAATGAGAAGAGAAGAGGAACCGGAGGTGAAGCGGCTCCGGCTGACAGAGAGCGATGACGGCGCTATGCCCTCTAGTGCTGCTGCCGTTCCCTCTCCTTCCACCACCGCCGCCCCTGGTTCCGCTGCTGCTGGCGCTGCTGCTGGCAGTGCTGCTGGTGCAGCAGCAGCTGATGCTACGGGTGTCCAACCAGGCAGACCAGGAGCAGCAGGTGCAGGGGCGGCAGCACCTGCCAAGCCTTCCACAGCAGCAGGACCACAGGTTCGCCTCCTCATCTTCTCCCCCGCCTCCTCCCCCGCCTCCTCCCCCGCCTCCTCCCCCGCCTCCTCCCCCGTCCCCCTTCTCCCCCCTTCCCCTGGAGCCCGCTCACTCTGACCCTCCGCATTCTGTTGTGCACCCTTCCGTACGTTCTCCTCACACAGTACCACTCGTATCCTCCCATCACTCTCTCCCAACCTTCCAAACCCCAACCACAGCCCCCAGGCTCTCAAGCCACTCAGCCACCCGGCAGCAAGCACCCGGCAGAGGCATCCGCGCCAGGGCAGCCCCCTCTGTGAGTGCTTGGCGTGTTTTCAGGTTGTTTCTGGGGACACCACCTTACATACACACAACACTCAACCCCCTCAGCCACCCGGCAGCAAGCACCCGGCAGAGGCATCCGCGCCAGGGCAACCCCCTCTGTGAGTGCTCGGCATGTTTCGTGAATGATTCTGAGCTCGTTACGCACAACACGCTCTCAATCCCCGCAGTCAGCCACACACACAGCCACCCGGCAGCAAGCACCCAGCAGAGGGATCCTCTTCTCTTCATCCCTCCCCCCATCTCCCCATCTCCCTATTCCCATCTCGATGTGCCTACAGCAAGAAGCCCAAGCCAGACAACGACGGGATAGAGCAGCTTAACGACGTGACGGCTGTCAGCGGGGTGAACCTGAGGGTGAGTTCTTGCTCCCTTCTTGACACACCTCCATACGAGGCTGGCTGGTTGGCTTGGCTTGACAGACTTTTGAGTCGACTCAAAAGTCACCTCGCTCCCTTCTTGACGCACCTCCATACGAGGCTGGCTGGTTGGCTTGGCGTGACAGACAGCTCAAAGCGTGTGTGAGGATAGAGCAGCTGAATGACAAGGGAGGAGGATGATGGCAAGGGAGGAGGAGCAGCGGCATGGAGGCACATGCATGGAGAGATCAATTCCTCCCTCCCTGCCCTTTTTCGTCTCAATCTCCCTCTTGCTTTGTTCTCTCTATCCACAGGAGGAGGAGGAGCAGCTGTTGGCAATGGCAGTGGCGGGGGATGCGCAGCAGAAGGTGCAGGGGGAGGCGTGGCGGCGGATGGCGAGGGAGGAGGAGCAGCGGCTGCTGATGGATCGACCGCTGCTGCGAGCTGTGGTGGGGCGGATAGGTGCGTGAGCTTGGAGGAGAGGTG